CAGAGGTCCATGATCTACGAAGCTTTCAACGGTATCAGAGGTTGATCCTAAGAACGAACAGGCACAGGGAACCCAAAAGCAATTTGTTAAGAACAATGTGATGGAGACTTGTGAATGTCCTAGTATTGTTGATGCAGAAGTCAATGGCTAAGATGCTGAGTTTGGTGATTAGAAAGACGCCCTTTTCTTGGTTATCCAGGGAGGTGTTTTGGTGGTTTATTTTGTTGTCATTTCTGCTGTCCGGGTTATTTCAGGGTTGTAGTCCGAATATTGTCTTTTGTCTCAAACCCTTCTATCCTTTTATTTTGCCTAGTTTGTTTAATCATAATAGCCTATTTAGTGTTGTCTAGGTTTGTTTTAGGTTTGTAGACCTAGTTTAGTTTGTTTGTTTTGTTGTCCAAACCCTTTCACCATCTGTCTAATGCAATTTTCTGTTTTCTGTGATTTCTAGTCATTTTCGTTTAGTTCCCTTTTCTTTTATAGTTCTCTTCCTGTTGACTCTACTAACATGACATGTATGCGTAATTCTCGGCCTGGTCTTAAAAATTCAGTTTAGTCATGAAGCAATGAATGAAACAATTTTGAAGATGATAGGGACATTTGAGGGAAATAAGTAAAGGCATTTTGAGATTACTTCAAGCCCGAATTGTGTGAAACTGGGGTAGATAGAATATGAAGAAACCCTATTGAAATGCATCATGCCGCATCAGTTTGAAGCTAAAGGCAAGTTTGCCCAAATTGACAGGGTCGTTCGTAGTAATGAGAGTGAGAGTATTGTCCAATGGTGCTTTGTATTTAACAGACGTAGAAGGTGAATGTGTGGATATGGTTATAAAGTCTGATACAATCAAAAGGTGTTATGAATGTTTTCCTTGGTTAGTGTTATTGTGTTGTTTGTACTTGGCATGTTTTGAAGATAGGAATGACGAAGGCATTTTGTTCTGCTATCTAAACACTTTATCCTTCGTTACCCCTTTGAGCCTCATTTATTTTCTTTCATACCCCTCTTTTGGAATCAGTAGCAAAGTCCAGAAACACAAGCGCAAAAGATAAGTAAAGAAAAAAAGAGAGAGAAAGAAAGAATGAAAAAAGAAAGAAAAGAATTAAAAAAAAAGAATAAGAAAAACAACAAAAAGAGAAAAATAAAGCAAAAAAGAGAAAGAAAATAAAGAGAAAATCACAAAAACAAAGTAATCCCTATGTCATGAACTACGTTTGACCTGATTCCTTTTAAGGATACGTAGGCAGCCTCACGGTTCGGTCCCAGCAAAATAAAAATCCAAAAGTCCTGAAGCAAGAAACTGGGGCAGAAGTTGTGGTTGTTGTAAGAAATCTGGTTCCAAAAGTAAACCCATGATGAGTTGTTTTGAGCCTTTTGATACCCTTTATTTCTAACCTCATCCAAAAGCCCACATTACGGTCCAAAGAAAGACCTTCCGATCAGTCTTCGAGAGATTCCAAGACAAGCAAGGAGAGGTAATTCATATCAGGGGCAACACTCTGGTCCAAGCAGAAAAATAATGGAAATGAGAGAGTCTTATTGGTGAAAACCCTCACGGGCACCGTAAGGCGACGGGAANTCACTAGCTTTCCAATTGCACAAAACGGGATCTGTACAGCACATCAAAGTGGCATAAGTTAGGAAAGAACAACAAGCGCACTGAGTTGGTAGCAATCAACATGCTTTAGAGTCCATGAGAAATACAAAGTTTGGTATATTTCAATTCGTGAACAGTGCAACAGATAGAGGATGTTGGGTGAATGGGTCAAAGGTATTCTCTGTGATGAGATCAACAAAGAAAGTGTTTAACCAGTGACAAGCAAGGTATTCCAAGCAGAAATCAAAGTTATCGTGACAAGTGAGGGAACAATAGACTTCAAGGCCAAGGCCAGTGATATAAGTCAAGAAGGAACAACATGAGCACTAAGTGGATGGCAATTAACGTGCTTTGGAATTCATGTCAACACAAGAGCACGATGCAATAGATGGAGGGGGTTAGGTGGACGGATCAAAGGTATTTTTGGTGAAACACAAAGGTTGGTAAATGTCAGTTCATGAGCAATGCAACAGATAAAGGGAATTGGGTCTGAACGGAGAAGNGAGAAATAAAAAATGAGAGAGTCTTAACCCCCGCGGGTACCGTAAGGCGACGATAAGTGGAGAGAAAGAATAGAATGAGAGAGGCTTGATGGTGAAAACCCTTCGGGCACTACAAGTCGAATANACACAAACCAACCACCACATTTTAAACTGGCAAGATTTTTTTTTTATTGAAACAGGGGCAGAAAATTTTGTTTATTTCGGAGAAACACTCCGCAAGGAAAAGCAAGCACCAGACAGGTTTGACCGTAAACTCTCAGGACCTTCCTGGAAAATGTGGCTTAGTTAAAATTCAAAACAATCATGAATAGCATAGAGGAATATAAGTAGGCTTCAAAGTTTACATGTTTGATATAGGATTCAATTAGGAGTTTTCAGTACCCTCCTGAATAACGGGAGCTAGATTTAGGATTTCCATTGGATAACAAGGTTTAGAGTAAGTTCTGTTGTAGGGTAATATAATTTAGCTGTGAAATTGTCACTCTTAATATAAAACTTGACTTTTGATTTTTAGGACCCTACTGGATAATGGGACGTAGTTTAAAACTGGCTTGCATAACAAGATTTAACGGAATTAACACCTTTAGAAGATATAACTTAGATTTAAAAATGTCGTTTAGTTAAGAGTTGTCAGGACCCTCCTGGATAATGGGGAGTAGTTTAAGACCTTCTTAGATAACAACATTTAGCAGAAGTCATGCCTTTAAAAGATATAGCTTAGATTTAAAATTGTCGTTTAGTTAAGAGTTGTCAGGACCTCCCTGGATAATGGGACCTAGATTTCAAATTCCTAGTAATATGATTTAGTTTAACACTCACATATGTGCCCAGCCACCAAACTGGGGCAGAAAATTTTCTTTGTTTTTGTTTATTTTGTTGAAGTCAAGAGCCCGCCTGGAGAACAGGGAATACGTTTCAAGTCAGCAATCAGGAGCCCACCTGGAGAACAAGGGAGTATAACTCAAGATTTAGATTTCAAGTTCTTATTGATATTTGGTAATGTGGTTCGTTTTACACTTACATATGTGTCTAGATACCCAAACTGGGGCAGAAAATTTTTTCTTTGTTTTGTCCATTTTGTTGAAGTCAGGCGCCTGCCTGGAGAGCAAGGGAATAGAATTCAAGTCAGCAGTCAGGAGCCCACCTGGAGAGAAGGGAATACATTCAGTTCAGCACTCAAGAGCCCACTTGGAGAGCAGGGAATACATTTCAAGTTAGCAGTCAGGAGCCCGCCTGGAGAGCAGGGAATACATTTCAAGCTAGCAGTCAGGCGCCCACCTGGAGAGCAGAGAATACATTCCAAGTCAGCAGTCAGGATCCCGCCTGGAGAGCAGGGAATACATTCAAGTCAGCAGTCAGGATCCCGCCTGGAGAGCAGGGAATACATTCAAGTCAGCAGTCAGGAGCCCACATGGAGAGCAGGGAATACATTCAAGTCAGCAGTCAGGAGCCCGCCTGGAGAGCATGGAAATACATTTCAAGTTAGTAGTCAGGAGCCCGCCTGGAGAGCATAGGAATACATTTCAAGTTTAGCAGTAAGGAACCCACCTGGAGAGCATGGGAATACATTTCAAGTTAGGAGTCAGGAGCCCGCTTGGAGAGCAGGGAATACATTCAAGTTTAGCAATCTGGAGCCCACCTGGAGAGTAAGGGAATACAGTTCAAGTTCAGCAGTCAGGAGCCCACCTGGAGAGCAAGGGAATACAGTTCGGGTTCAACAATCAGGCATCCACCTGAAGAAAAAGAAAAGCATCTCAGATTGCAATTCAAGTCAACAACCAAAGAATCCCGCGGCAAGAATGCGAGTCAATAGTCCGAGGTGATCAACAGAAGTTAGTCACAATAAAAAAAAAGAGAAAGGCAAGAAGTGAATCCAAATGCAGAAGTTGATGGAAGATGTGAACTGCTTAAGACATGGTGGAAGTCACAAGCACTACATGTCCGGTCTTGATCCAAAAAGCTGTAGAAGAATGAGCTAGAACCTGCAGCTAACAAGCGCCAAGGTTCAAATCTAAAGTCTGCATGAAGAACCATTCAAGATTCAAGATCAAGCTTCAGAAGACTTATAGATAGGAATCTTATAACTCGTGGTTGACAGGTTTAGTTAGTGTTTTTCATTTGATTTTTTGATGTAATAACAGGAACCGCGGACCAGAACCTCGGTGGAACGGCACCTCAACCGGATCTCCACCTCGGCATACTCTGTCATCTCACTCATCTCTGAACTACACGTGGCCTAATTCCTTTATAGCCAAGGATATGTAGGCAGCTCAAATACCAGAGCTCGGTCACATTCCCCTCTCTCTTAGTTTTAATCTCTCCAAATAAAGGTCAGGTCAAAAAACCTGTCTATTCGTTCTTTATCTAAAAACTCTTCGCGTTTCCAGTCAAAGAGGGGCAGCTGTAGACATGCAATTTTTGACCCACCCCAAGATTTTTCGCATTTTTAGCATAAAATATTTAATTTAGGTCAAATATAGCTATTTCAACTCATTTTTACTCTTTTTATTTTATTTTATTACAAGAAAACAAAATTATAAAAATAGGTTCATTAATATTTTGTAGTCATTTTTAATCTTAAAAATAATAATACAAAAATAGTATCGTATTTTTATTTTAATATGATATTTGAAAATACCAAAAATAGGTTTGTTTTAACGGTTAGTTTTATTTTAATAGTAGGATTAATTAATAAATGAGATCGTATTTTTAATCTCGTTCGCAAGGAAAGAGTAAATCTTGGGCTCAAGCAACCCATTTTTAGGCCTAATTTTGGACCTAACTGATTATTCCCAAGCCCATAATTCCAAGGCCCATACCCTTTAACCTAACAAACACTACAAAAAACTAACCTAGACCTATATATATACACACAAGCTAACACCTAACGCTCGGGGGGCCTAAGGAAAAAAGATCTGAAAGATATCCTAAAGCCAGAGCGCCGCTTTCAGAGAACCCCACCCCCTCGATCGAGTATCTTCTTCTTCTTCTTATGCCATTTTCAATGGTTTCGTCTGAAGCAAAAAGCAACAACTCCATGAGCTACTGTTCTTGAACAAAATTGAGACCTTAAGCATCAGCTTCCTCTTATCCAAAAAGAAAAAATAAAAGACATGAGCATCTAGAAATGGGAGGGATCGAAAATTTCCAGCAGTTTCTTCATCTCGTAACTCCGACAACCCTCCATTGAGTCCGGCGAAAGCCGAGTTCGAACCCAGTCATAAACTCAGCTACAAAACCATCTGAAATAACATCTCAAAGCAGCACGAAACACACACAAAATTAGCCAAGGTTTTGAGTCGAGCCCGTCGAGTTCGCCCATTTGGTGTTCTAGTCGAAGGTTTCGTTTTCAATTTCCAGTAACCTGTATTGCCGAGGTATGTACCTTGAGTTTCTTTTCCGTTTGTTCAATCAAGTACTGAAGAAAATTATTGCTTATTGAGGTGCACTTTTATTTGATATTGTTTCTTAGCATGCTTTGCTTGTATGTATGAGTGTGTTCATGTCATGATTTATTCATTGTGTTTATATGTTGGGTCATATTGATTTACTGCCTTCCTAGTGGTGTATTAAAATTTAGAATTTTATTTTGTTTGCTTGTTTCTTTTGGTTTGATGAAGTAGTTTGTAACACACTTGTCGAATTTTTATGATTAATTTGGAAGATGAAAGATCTGTTCAGACGAATTCTAATATCGTCCGTACGAATTGCATGATTTTGTTAGCTTTAAGGGGCTGTAGGCTTGGTTTGGATCCTTAGAAGAATTGATGTTCAAGTTTAAGTAAAAGGGTTGCATAATAATCCCACAGTTTAGTTCAGCTCTAGTTGCTTTAGGCATGTTACAATAAAATTATCATAGCTATGGGTACGGTTCCCGTGACGTAGTTGTGATACATAATCACAAATTCGGGGGTGCATTTCATGTAACCCGATTATAACAACTTCGAATAATGAGACTTTGTGAAAAAATTTGAGGCATGTCGTGCCAAATTAAATCTTAAAATACATGGCCCTCACTTAATTAGTATTTTAAAGTCCTTAGAATTCGAGGCGTGCCATTTAGCTAATTTTTATGGCCCCCGCAAAGTTTCTAAAGCGTAGTTGCTCTAGGCACGTCATTTAAATAAAACTACCTTCCTAAATTCAGGTGCGCATTTATGCAACCCAAATCCAAATCTCAACAATATTAAAATATGTCAAAGACCACGGGTGCATTTATGTGACGTGGTTCAAGACGTGTTTTAATAACGCTGCAATCTTCCTAAAAATGAATAAAAGCGGTTAAAAACTAAAATTTACACATAGGTTCATAGTTGTTTAAAATCAGACAATTAAGCCGAATATAATAGTTGAGCGACCGTGCTAGAACCACGGAACTCGGGAATGCCTAACACCTTCTCCCGGGTTAACAGAATTCCTTACTCGGATTTCTAGCTCGCGGATCGTTAAACAGAGTCAATCTTTTCCTCGATTCGGGATTTTAACCGGTGACTTGGGACACCATAAATTATCCCAAGTGGCGAATTTGTAACTTTTAACAATAAATCCCGTTTCGATTGTCCTTTAATTGGAAAAAAACTCCTTTATACATCACCTTCCGGGGGTATAGTGAAAAAGGAGGTGTGACACCATCTCGTAGTCCAACTCATAATGCGAGGGGATCTCCTGGAATACTGATACGTAGTCCCAAATGTAAATACTCAGTACAGGGGGAATCTACAGGGTGCAGTCCTGTAGTTCCAAAGTAAATGTGTAGGGGGATCTCCTGGAATACCGTTTCATAGTCTCAAATGTAAACACTCAGTACAGGGGGAATCTACTGAGTGCTGTCCCGTAGTTCTAATGTAAATGTGCAGGGGGATCTCCCGAAATACTGTTCTGTAGTCCCAAAGTAAACATACAGGGGGATTTTTCGGGATACCGTCCTGTAGTCCAAAAGCAAGCACACAACAACAATAAGAAGAGTACACAGTTCAATTCAAGTTCCATACTAAGGTAAAATAGGTATTTCTAACCTAGCATGCTGCACGTATTCCAAATAAGGCAGTTTGAACACTTAAGGCAATTAAGTCACTTAGACATGCTTTTCCTAAGCTAACAACAGGCTTAAATTACATGTAATATAAATAGGAAAGGAAACATACTAGTAATTACTTAATGAAAACCGGCTATTCAACAATTAGCACAAGTACGCACTCGTCACCTCTCGTACATGGCATTTCAATTATCAATAATACCAAATCCTAAGGGGAAGGTCCCCCACACAAGGTTACACAAGCCAGTTACCTCGAACCGTCTCAAAGTCAACACAAAACCGCGTTCTTGCAACGAGTACTTGACTCCAAATGGCCCAAATCCCAATGATTTTCTCTAAAAATCTCCCTTGAAAAAGCTCCCCAAAGCTTCTTCCCGTTCGAAAAGAGGTGAAAATAACTCAAATTCACGAAGCCAACTATTTATATGTTCTGCCTAGCTTATCCGCTTCTACAGTCATGGGACCGCAACTGCAGTCCTGCTTTTGCGGAACAAAGGTCGCATCTGCGACAAATCACTAAACTCAGTTTTCCGTACCTGCGACTCCCCATACGCAGATGCAGTACCACTTCTGCGGTAAAGCTCCCGCTTCTGCGGCTCCTGCTGTTACTCCCCTTTTTCGCTTCCGCGATGATGTTGCCGCTTCTCTAGCTATGCACCTGTGGGACCCAACCACAGGTGCAGTTATGACAAAAGATCAGCATCTGAAGCTGCTCAAACAACACCCAATTCTTCCGACAACCTTCTGAAACCATCCCGAGGCCCTCGGGACCTCAACCAAAAACACAAATAAGTCTAGTAAAACTATCCAAACTTATACCAATCCTTAAAACACGTAAAACAACATCGAAACCACGAATCAACCCCGAATTCAAGCCTAAGAACTCCCAAACCCTAAATTTATGCTTTCGATCAAAAGGTCTATCAAACCTCGTCCGAATGACCTAAAATTTTGCTCACACGTCACATTCAACACTATGGAGCTACTCAAACTTTTGGAATTCCATTCCGAGCCTCGGATCAAGTTCTCACTATCGAACCGGAGACTTCAAAATTCAACTTTCGGCATTTCAAGCCAAAATTAGCTATGGACCTCCAAAACACAATCCAAACACGCCCCTAAGCCCGATATCACCCAACGGAGCTAACAGAACTATCAGAATTCCATTCCAAGGCTATCTTCACACAGTTCCTATTACGATCAAATTTCCAAAACTTAAGCTCTCATTTAGGGACTAAGTATCCTAAAACTCTCCGAAACTCAAAATCGAACATCCCGACACATCAAAATAGCAGAAATAAACATGGAGAAAGCAGTTAATAGGGGATCGGGGCGTTAATTCTTAAAATGACCGGTCGGGTCGTTACATCCTCCCACACTTAAACATTCGTTCATCCTCGAACGAGCATAGAGACATACCCGAAATAGTGAAAAGATGAGGGTAACGGTTGCGCATAGCCTGCTCGGTCTCCCAGGTCGCCTCCTCGACCAGATGACCCCACCACTGAACCTTCACTGATGCAATGTTCTTTGATCTCAGCTTTCGGACCTGCCTATCCAATATTGCCACTAGTTCCTCAATATAAGATAGATCTTTGTCCAGCTGAACTGAACTAAAATCCAACACGTGCGACGGATCACTATGATACCTCTAGAGCATCGAAACATGAAAAACCGAATGAACCCTTGCCAAGCTTGGAGGTAAGGCAAGCTCATAAGCAACCTCCCCAACACGCCTCAATATCTCAAAAGGGCCAATAAACCTCGGACTCAACTTCCCCTTCTTCCCAAATCTCATAACGCCCTTCATATACGAAACCCGAAGTAGAACCCGCTCTCCAACCATATAGGAAACATCACGAACCTTCCGGTCCGCGTAACTCTTCTGTCTGGACTGGGCTGTATGGAGTCTATCCTGAATCACCTTAACCTTCTCCAAAGAATCCTGAACCAAGTTTGTGCCCAATAATCTAGCCTCACCCGGCTCAAACCAACCCACCGTGGATCTACACCGCCTACCATATAAAGTGGTGCCATCTGAATGTTGGATTGATAGTTGTTGTTGTAGGCAAACTCTGCCAATGGCAAGAACTGATCCCAAAACCCTCCAAACTCAATCACACACGCACGGAGCATATCCTCAAGAATATAAATAGTGCGCTCGGACTATCCGTTCGTCTGAGGGTGAAATCTTGTACTCAACTCCACTCGAGTACCCAACTTATGCTGAATAGCCCTCAAGAATCATGAAGTGAACTGATTACCTCTATCTGAAATGATGGAAACTTGAATACAATGCATATGAACAATCTCCCAAATATAAATCTCTGCTAACCGCTCCGAAGAATAAGTAGTACACACAGGAATGAAGTGGGCGAACTTGGTCAGCCGATCCACAATTACTCAAATAACATCGAGCTTTCTCAAAGTCTGTGGGAGCCCAACTACAAAGTCCATGGTGATCCGCTCCCACTTCCACTCCGAAATCTCTATCTGCTAAAGCAACCCACCCGGTCTCTGCCTCTCATACTTCACCTGCTGATAGTTGAGACACCGAGCTACAAACCCAACTATATCTTTCTTCATCCACCTCCACCAATAGTGCTGTCTCAAATCCTAATACATATTCGCGGCACTCGGACGAATGGAATACTGCGAACTATAGGCCTCCTCTAGAATCAACTTCCGAAGCCCATCAACATCGGGTACACAAATCTGACCCTGCATCTTCAATACCCCGTCATCACCAATAGTCACATCTCTAGCATCCCCATGTTGAACCTTGTCCTTGAGGACAAACAAAAGAGGGTCCTCATACTGACGCTCCCTGATACGGTCAAATAAGGAAGACCAAGAAACCACGCAAGTTAGGACCCGACTAGGCTCCGAAAGATCCAATCTCACAAACTGGCTAGCTAAAGCCTGGACATCCATTGCCATAGGTCTCTCCGATGTTGGTAAACAAGCCAAACTCCCCAAACTCTCTGCCCGACGACTCAAGGCATCGGCCACCACATTGGCCTTGCCCGGGTGATATAAAATTGTGATATCATAGTCCTTCAGCAACTCTAACCACCTCCTCTACCGCAAATTAAGATCCTTTTGCTTGAACATGTGCTGAAAGCTCCGATGATCAGTATAAATCTCACAAGGAACACCGTACAAATAATGGCTCCAAATCTTCAGGGCGTGAATAATGGAAGCTAACTCGAGATCATGGATAGGGTAATTTTTCTCATGTACCTTCAACTGTCTAGACGCGTAGGCAATCACCATACCACCCTACATCAACACCGCTCCAAGTCCAATCCTCGAGGCATCACAATAGACCGTATATGACCC